AAAAAACTTACTTTCAATAATAGTCTTCTTAAGAGTGGGGCTAGTAGAAAAGTTAAAAAAAAACAAATCCAACTTAGAATAATTGGTTAAAAAATGTAATTCTCAGAATTACCTGATGGGAAGCACGTGGGCAAACCATAAGAATGCTTCCTGTGGCACTATTTTCTAGAAAAACTTACATAATATATACCACGTTTCTGATATAGCTTAATCCTCAGTTACTCTGAGAAGTTACTGCATCTTTCTCTCTCACTTTTTTTTTTTTTTAATTAAATACATAAGGAAACCAAGGCATAGAAAGGTAAAATAATTAATTTTTAGGTCACACACTTAGAAGGTTTGGGAGCCAGACATGGAATTCTTAACTTCTTATTCCAGCTTCTCTTTTCTTTTTATTTGACCTCAATTCTACTTCTTTCTGCTTGATCCCAATTCTTCTTTCTCTCTCTTCTCTTTCGGGGTCGTTGTGGTGTTAGTGTTGATGGTGCTTTTGATCTTCTGATGATAGTGAGTCCATCCCACTCTTCCTTCCTGGTGTCCAAAGGGTCCTCCTCTGTTTTGTTCATTTCATCTTCTTTTTCTTGCATCCCTATTTCTACTCCTCTGTTTTCTGCTCTGCTCTTCACCACCAGCCAAGCACACTCTCCCAGGTCCCTGAAATATGTCCCTTGATGTGTAGGAGACCTTGTGGAGTTATCTGTGGTGCTTGTAAGTGTGTGTGGTTACTTTTTACAAGCGGTTCTATGCTATGAATCTCATTTCCTTTTCTTACAGTTTTCACTCAATACCGTAAGTTCCATCTATGTTGCTATTAGTTCTCACTTCTGGGTAATAGTCCGTAACATTCCCCTGCTATAATTATATTTCCATTCCCTAGTGGAAATCTCGAACGCCTCTAAGTCCTGGTACTACAGTCTTGCCTGAAACATTTCCCAAGCTGTGTCCTTAGGAAGAGTAGAGTTGCCTGATCGTACAGGGCATAAACACACTTCATTTCATTAATTACTGCCATATTTTTATTTTTTCCCCATTTGCTCTACTAGTTTAAATATCTACTAGCTGTCTGTAAAGTTTTCCCTTTCCCCAAACCATGGCCCAACCTCGTTATTAATCTCCTTTCTAAATGTTTTCATTCCGATAGGTATAAAGTAATCTGTTATTTTGATGTGTATTTACTTGACTTCCAGTGAGTTTTCACCTCTCCCTCTTACTCTCTCCCTCATTAGAATATATCTTGGGGTGCCTGGGTGGCTTAGTCGGTTAAGCGTCCGACTTTCGCTTAGGTCATGATCTCGCGGTTGGTGGGTTCGAGCCCCGCGTCGGGCTCTGTGCTGACTGCCAGCTCAGAGCCTGGAGCCTGTTTCAGTCTGTGACTCCCTCTCTCTCTGACCCTCCCCCTGCTCACGCTTTCTCTCTCTCTCCTAGAAATAAATAAAAATCTTTAAAAAAAAAAAAAAAAAAAAAGAATATATCTTGCCTTCATTGAAATTCAGACCCTTGTTAATTCTCACTTGAATTGTTGAAATACCATTCTGAGTCTCTGCCTCTCACTTGCCAAGGTCCCCTGCTTGCTGAGATTCATCCTCCTAAACCTTGTCACATGGGTCCTCTGCTCAAAATCTCTAATGGGTTCACATCCTCTTTGGTACAAGCTCTTCTTGTGTAAATTGCACGCCCTGCCACACCTTGTGGTTGGACTTGGCTTATTTTCAATCTTGACCCCTGCGGTTCCCTACGACCCTTGATACGAGTAGGTCTCCTCGCTGTGCGTTACTCCACGTGGCATACCTTCCCGCTTCTGCCAGAAATCCTCTTCATTTTCTCTTTTAGTTTTGATGTTCATCACAGTTTTGTATGCACATAGTTTAGAAAGTCAGATTGACCAACAGAGCTTATGAAGACTAAATAGCATTCTTTGCTTGTTCCACCCCCCATTTTCCATCCTCTAAGGGAAGTTTTCTCAACTTTTACAGATTCTTTTGATTTTTAAGCATTGTATTCCTCAATAACTTGTGTATGTTGCTTTTTCTTTCTTTTTCTTTCCTTTAGTGTTAGCCCTTATATGTGGACGTCCCAGTGTGGACATGTGGATTTAGCTCTTGTCATCTCCAAGCCCCCACCAAGCACACAGCTTTCCTGTGGCTCCAAAGTAGTTGTCTCAGCCTAGATGAAATCAGTATTCAGTGGTTACCTACATATACCTCTGGGGGTGGTTCTCACAGTTGTGCTATGATCATGGTTACTTTTCCTTTCCTATAGATAATATCCTCTGATTTTTTTTTTGTTTGTTTGTTTACTGAGGGTTTTTTTTTTTTTTTTAAGTTCATGTATTTATTTTGAGAGAGAGAGAAGGTGCAAGTGACGGAAGGTCGGAGAGAGAGGAGAAAGGGAGAATCCCTAGGAGCCTCTGTGCTTCCAGTGCGGAACCTGACGTGGGGCTCGAACCCACAGACTATGAGACCATGACCTGAGCAGAAGTCAGACGCTTAACCCACTGAGCCACCCAGGCGCCCCATGGTGGCTGAATTTTGAACATTCCCATCCCTGCTTAAATCCCCCGGTTGTGTGAGTCTTCTCTGTGAATCCACAGTCACTGGAAGTAGTGTCAGGTGCTTGGGGCCTTCAGGCCTGATTGGCCTTGTGCACAGCTCTTGGCCGGGGTCCCACTACCATCTTTTCCTTCTTGTGCCCTCTGTGCCCTCTGTGTCACATGGCATGGGTCCTCCTTTGTTTGCTCCCTTCTTCTCTCTGCGTCTCCCCCTTCCTGAGCAGCAAGCTTGTAGGAGAGGTACATTTTTGACATCGAGATTTTCATGTTAAGAATATCTTTACCTTTGTACTTCATTGGGAGTGTTGTCGGATCTGGGATTCAGGATGGAAAATGATTTTCCTTTGGGGTTTTGAGGGTATTCCTGTACCCTACCTTCTGTTTGGATGCCATTATGACTCCCAGTACCTTTGTTAATGATTTGTCTCCTCTGACTCGAGTTTTTCTGTCTCTGAAAACGTGTAGAACAAGAACAAGGGTTCTTGTTCCAAATGTTCCGAGTTTCTCAGTGATGTGCTTTTGTGTGGTCTCTTTTCATCAAGTTTTGCAGGGTACTCAGCTGGTCCTGTCATTTCGTAAATGATAAAACCTAAATCCTTGTTTCACAGATTATTCTTTTTCAAATACAGAAATCTCTTGTTACCCAAATTCATTCATTGACTGAATTCAGATAAACAAGCACCTGTCAAGAGATCCAGGGTACTGTTTCCTGCAAAGAGCACCATCTCAAGATTTATTTTCATCACCTATTCAGTTCTTAAAGTAAGAGATTGAAGGTGGGGAGCAGAAGGGTCTCTGTTTGATCGATGCTGTCCTCATCTCCCTTTTTTGTTTTCTTTTTAACTCCCATATTCAGATCTTGGGTATTCTGGAATGATATTCCAATGTTTTTTATTATTTTATTCCTGTTTTCTGTCTTTTGTTCTACTCTGTGATAGGGGGTGTCTTCATAGTCTTCCCAGCCTTTTATTCATTATCTCCCTTCTTTTACTATCATTTTTAATTACCAAAACCTTTTTTATTGTTTTTATCCTTACAGGAATCTTTTTAAAATGACATCCTCTTCTCGGTTTCTGAATGCATTGATGATCTGTCCTCTCTGGTTGGAGCACTCGACAGATTTGTGGGTGCTCTGAGCTGGTTGTGAGCTTCTCAGCAGAGTCACTGGCTGGGCTACTGATTCTCAAGCCCCTATGGCAGGAAATATCTGTAGGCTTGATTTTAGGGCTAATTACGTTCTCTATAGGAAGATCTTCCAGGTTCCTGCCACCAGGTATAGGCCAGGCATATGGTTTGCACCCTGAATAAGAAGAAAATTGGACATCTTAACACACCGGTCCCTCTTCACTCTGTTCTCTGTGTGATTCCTTTATCTACATGGTGTCCTGATCTCTCAGTAGAAGCCCCAGGTTATACTCTACACAGAGAACAAACTGCTGGTCTTCCAAGATTAGGAAAGGTAGACAGCTAACTGTGTTCACTAAGGTGGTATATCTGGAGATCTGACTAATTCTTAGAGGCATTGCCAACCATCCTTCCTTATTTTAGCTACATTTTACCACCATTTTTAGAGTCATCTGGAGCTGATAGCTTTCCAGATTTTGGAAGGTTTTTTTTTTTTGGTAAGTCATGTTGCTTCTCGGTTTTCCTCACAATTGGCTTAGCTGTATTCAGCTTTCTAGGGTCTGTTAAATCATTTACCTTTCTTCCATCTGTTTTTTGCCTTTCCAATTCTTTTTTTCCTGTTATCAACTCCTCTCACATTCTGTGCCTAAAGAAAAATCTATTACCTCTTATTTTATTTGAATTGGGAAGAGAGCGAAAGCCAGTGTGTATAATCAGTCTGCTTTTCTTTACCCAAAAGTCATATTCTTGTTGGCCATTTGAATTTCCTTTTCTGTGGGTCATTTATCCATATGTTTTACCAATTTTTTCTCTTGAGTTTCTTGTCTTTTTCTTTGGAGAATTTCTCTATATAGTCTAGATTTTAAACCTTATTGAATTTGTAACAACTTTGAGCCACACGATAAAACCCTACTCCCCAAATTTTAGTTTTCTCAAATGTGAAAGCAGATATTAATATTGCTGACCTCTAAGTGTGTGTCTTTGTTGTGTGGGATTTCCAGAACATAAGTACTACAGTGATTTAATGCCTTAACGTTTCTCTCACCTTTTTTTTTAATTTTAAAATTTGTTTGTTTGTTTATTTATTTATTTATTTATTTATGAGAGTCAGAGAGAGATAGCGCGAGCAGGGGAGGGTCAGAGAGAGAGGGAGATACAGAATCCGAAGACAGGCTCCAGGCTCTGAGCTAGCTGTCAGCACAGAGCCTGTCACGGGGCTTGAACCACGGACCGTGAGATCATGACCTGAGCTGAAGTCGGACGCTTAACCGACTGAGCCACCCAGGCGCCCCTCTCTCGCTCCCTTTTTAAAAAATACAGTCATTGAGTGCTCCCTTTGGCAGCACATTTTCTAAAATTGGAACGATACAGAGAAGATTAGCATGGCCCCTGCACAAGGATGGCACATAAAAAATATAGTCATTGAAAGAATACCTATATAACCATAGGAGTTATGCGAATTGTCCTGGTTGGAAATTCCCAGCTGTGGCAGAGGCTGATTGTCCACACAATATCTGTCCTGTCCCCCTTCTGTGATAGGAACTTTTTACTTGTGTGTCTGGCTGCCCAAAGTAAAGATGACATTTTCTACCCTTTATCTGTAGCCAAGTGAGTTCCAGCCAGTGAGATGTAGGTGGACGTAAGCATTCTACAAGCCTACTTCTGAAGTCACCTAGTGCACTCCCTTTGCTCTACCTCTTTGTCCTTTATTTCTGTTGTGTGCCATGTAGATGCAATGGCTGGAGGTCTGGCTGTTAGAGTAAACCATTAGAATGAAGTCAAACTCTAGGAACGGTGGTGGTTTCTGAAGGACTTTGGGGAGCGGAACGCGTGTTCTGGCTGTTGACTGCCCGACTTTGCATTCCAATTGCTGGAGACAGAAGCTACTGTCCGGCCCACGCCACCGCCTCTTTTAAGTTTGCCGACACCTGCAGCCATATCCAATCTCAACGGATACCCCAGCCCAAGCACGCTGAATTCAAAACCAGTTTATCATTTATTGGCTCATGGAATGAGCTTATGCAAGAAGTGAAGCTGGTTTTAAGCACTGCATTAGGGAGCAGTTGGAACAGCGTGACCGGCCCTCCGTTTCTCTATTCACTTTTCAGGTTTGTTGCTTCTGCTAGCTTTATCCTCAGATTATTAACATGTGACAACAGTGCGGCGGCTGATCGAGTCCATTATAGACCTTTTACATTCTTAGAAAAAGAGCAGTCAGTTTTTTGTTTTTGTCTTTTTTTTTTAATAACATTTGGCTTGGTCACCCATTCCCTAAGACAACCAAGGTGACAGGCGGAGAATACTCCGGTGGGTTAGACCAGGGTCATATGCTCACTCCTGGCTGGAAGGGGAGGGGACATCCTTACCCATTTAGGGGAACTGAGAATATCTCTGGGATGAAGGAGAGCTGATTCTGAAAAGATGCTGGGAAGAGACATATGTGTCTAGTTGCATTAGATACAATTAAACTTCCTATAGCTATGATTTTCAGAACATATATATATATATAAACATATATATATAAACATATATATATTAACATATATATATGTTAATTTCTGGATTTTTCCCCGTTTTCAGCAGTTCTTTCCAAAGAAAGCAAAGAATATTAAAATAACTTATAGGAGAGTCAGTGACAGTAAAGAGATAAAAAAATAAAAGTAATAGCTATAGTGGTGTAGCAAGGAAGTAGAAGAAATATATAGAAATATAGTAGTAAGGTGATCAGATGAAAATAGCTGTGGTACAATAGTATCATCATGATTTCTAGATAGAGATCATTTCTGTTAGTGGCAACTAAACATTCCTTGTTAGAGTGGATACAGTGTATCTCTGCAAAGGGTCTCAACTATAGTGGAGAAGTGAACATACATGATTCATTTCCAGTTTGTAAGTTCTTCTGGGTAACTTCTTTTGCTCCTGTGATCCTCTTTGAAGGACCCGTCCTGTGTTGCACCGGACCCTAGTTTCTTTTTTCAGGTGGGAAACAAATCTCTAGTAGCCCTTCAAAATAAGATGGAATGTGTTGTTTCTTTTGCAAAACAAATGGGGAAGGAAGTATTTATCTTTTAAATGCATTTTTAAAGAGAGGTATTGTAGCCTGTGAACAAAGTACTTCCATTAACTTCTTTGATGCCTTTACTGAGATAAGATACATAAAACATATATATAGCAATTTGATGGTTTTTTTTTTTATTTTTTTTAAGGTTTTTTAAATTTATTTCTAGAGAGAGAAAGTGAGCAGGGGAGGGTCAGAGAGAGAGGGAGTCACAGACTGAAACAGGCTCCAGGCTCTGAGCTGGCAGTCAGCACAGAGCCCGACGCGGGGCTCGAACCCACGAACCATGAGATCATGACCTAAGTGAAAGTCGGACGCTTAACCAACTAAGCCACCCAGGCGCCCCAGCAATTTGATGTTTGAGTATATGCATCCACCCATGATATCATCACCTTAAACATTGTAATAAACATATACATCACCTCCCTGAGTTTGTATCCCTGTGCCTATTTACCCTCTTTGTTTTAAGAACACTTAAAATGAGATAACCCTTTCAGCACGTATTTAATTGTATATATAGCTCACTATACTACAGTGTTGTGCAGCGTACCATATAGCTACACCATATTGTTAACTGTAGTCACTATGTTGTACAGCATATCTCTGGAACTTAACTAATCTTGTATAACTGTAACTTTATATCCATTGAATAACAACTCCCCTTCCAAAAACTTTAAAAAAAATTTAGCCTTGTTTAGAAGGTGAGGCAGGCGTTTTAAGAAATAAACTTTACTTTTTTTTTATTTTAAGTTTGAGACCTACAGAAAAGAAAGAATGTGGAGAAAGAATTTTCACTTTCCCCATACCCAGTTCTTCCTGTTACTAGGATTTTACATTAGTATGGTATATTACTACGTATTAGTATGGTGTATTTATTACCATTAGTAAACCAATATTGATACATTTTTATTAATCTGAAGTCTATGCTTGATTCCTATCTCTTAGGTTTTTTACTCACTGCCCCTTTTCTGTTCCAGGATTCTATCCAGCATCCCATGCTACATATTGTGGTCATGTCTGTTTGGCTTCTCTTGGCTGTGACCGTTTGTCTGACTCTCTGTGTATTTGATGACTTTGACAGTTTGAGAAGTACTGGCCAAGTATTTTGTAGAATGTCTCCAAGTGGTCTTTGATGTCCTTCTCAAGATTAGCCTGGGGTTACAGGTTTTGAGAGGAGGATCACAGAGATAAAGTGCCACTGTCCTTACATCAGATCAATAGTACCGACTGTCAAAATGACATCACTGTCAATGCTGACCTTGATTACCTGCCTGGAATAGGATCTGTCAGGTTTTTCCACTGTAAAGTTATTCTCTTTCCATTTTATGGATACAGAATTAGAGATCCCAAATAGTACTGCTTGGTAGATACAGAGGGGAGAAGCATTTGTGGTCAGAATGTAGAATAAGAGGCCTTGTTTCTGGGTAGTTTTCCTTTCATTCCTCTGCAGTTTGGGGACTGATAGGTTTTTCTCTCTCACTGACCTTTTTGTGAGGTGGTTTATTTTCCCGGGCACTGTGAGGAGTCATTTATCTGAGGGCAAAGTATAAGAAGGTTTTTTATTAATGTTTTGACTGGAGAAGTTATTCATTTATTGACCGCATCTTTTTTTTTTTTCATTTTGCCAAAAAGGCATAGAAATGAAATATGATCTGCTGAAAAATATTGTATATTGAATAAGAGTAAGAATAGGTACAGGATTCCTTACAAGATTGTCTGTAAACATAGAACCCTTAAGGAGTGTTTAATGGATATAATGTTCTCCCACTCTCTTCTTTCAGCCTAAACAGCAATTGCTGTGAGGACTTGCCAAATTTATTATAACAAGATCCATTGCCCAGTTTTTATAATTTTAGTCTTTATTGAAGACATAAATATTGCCTTGAATAGAGAAATACAAACCTTCCTCAAGGAACTCTTCCTAAGAGGAAATCTAAACCCACTATGTCTTTGTACAGTATATACTGTTTGTGTTTCTTTGCATTAATTAATTATTCAGTGCTCTTTAGGTATGGAAGCTAGGGAGCTTTTGCTGGTTGTCATGGTTGAGGACCAAGAAACTTGTGTAATTCGAATTTCCTGTCTTTTAGTAAAATATGAAGACTCACTGAAACCATCATGAAAACCAAGAGTGTATGTACACACACACACACACACACACACACACACACACACACACACAGAGGTAAATTGACATTTTCCCAGCGGTAATTGCTATGTGTTTATAGGGGAGTTGGAATGATGTTTGTACTTGTCTGTTTCATTGCTCCTGTGTCATCACAGAATGGCCCTCGATCAAGCTACTATGAATTATTTTTTCCTTGCCCTCCTTCCCCACACCCATACTTAGCCATCGCTAAACATATTCTATTCTTTTGAAGCATTTGGGTGCATTAATTTTTGATGTTTGAAATGGTTTAATCTGTCAAAAAATGAGGGTCTTAATTTTATTTTCCTTCTGGCCATTAGTGGGATAATTAGAAAAGCTTGAGAAGCACTAGACCCTTATTTCATCCAATCTTTCAAGTTTATAGAGTTAATGAAAAAATAATATTTCATGGAGGAAATCTCAGTTTAACCTTGTGGAGAGGTTTTTCAGTCAGTCAGATGTTACTTAAATGCATGGAATCTCCTTTATCCTTCTTCTTCTTCTTTTTTTTTTTTTTTTTTTTTGGTATTTGGATAATCTTGAGAAAGATCCTGACCAATCTTTGCTGCTTTCTTGAATCTCTTAATTCATATTTTACTCTTTTTCTTCTTACTTCGCCATGTCTCCTGACATATCTATGTACTAGAAAGTCTTCCTGCCGGTGGAGATCATTGTCCTGTCTCAGGTTTAATTTGTGCCTCAGTTAATACTTTGCTCATCTCTTCATTTAAATGCTTTATGAGTTCCTGTTCTGTGAAGCACAGATCTTATCTGTTTGATTGAATGACACATTGCAAATATTTAATGTTACATATTTATGAGGTCCTTCTGAATTATTTTATTACTCTTTTGGACATACTTATCAGGTCTTACTTAACTGATGTTAAGACTCAGCAATCCATTAAGTCTTTCAGTCAATTCAAGCTCTGGCTGGTAACTAGGATTCATAGAACCCTAACTCCAGCATTGTTCAACATAGCTGAATCAAAACAGAGATCCTGTACTGGGTTTGCCTCTTTTGAGCAATCATTGGGATTCCCTGACCTTTTGATATCATTGTTACAGTAAAAACATAAAACATTGCCTGGCAGGGAGGGATGCTACCAGGTCAGATCCATTTTCAGGATTGGGTCTTCATGCTGCTAATTGCACATGAGAGCTTATCTATTAAGAATTAGCCAGTAGATAACCTCATTCTAAATATTTAAGTAAGTTATGAATAAACCA